GTAGTCTGAGTATGAGTAAGTCTGAGCATGAGTAAGTCTGAGTATGAGTAGGTCTGAGTATGAGGAAAGAGGAGGAGGGGAGGAGGAAGGAGGAGGGACGAGAAGGAGGCGTCCAAGTAATAACAAGAACCCCATCTTAGGATATGGGGAAATAACATGGCGTGCGAATACCCTGCTCGCTCCGGCGGGGCCTCCCTGGAGGGGTGGGAGGGGCACGAAACCTGATAAATAACATGGTGTGAGGAAAGGCATGGTATGGTATGGGATGGTGGATGCATGGTATGGCATGGTAAGGTATGGTACGGAGTGGCATGGTATTGGCATGGTATGATACAGCATGGGATGGTGGAGGAAGCGGGAGGAGGAGGAGAAGGAGGAGGAGAGGATGTTCTGGGAAAACAAGAACCCCACTCAGGATGTGGGGAACTATTCGTTCTCTGCTAAGTCTTTGGCATAATAAGAGGAATTTGGGCGCAGGGTGAAACTAGTTGGCAGATCCGACCTTAAGAGACAATGTGGTGACTTGGGGTCGGTTTTGCTGAGATTTGAAAGATATCTTATGACAATTCATTTTCAGAAGCCATACTTTCCTCACGTGTAGTGGGTTATGCCACGTCTGCCACACCAATTCTCAGGTCCGTAGATGCAATGTTACTATCAAAACACTTGAGGGAACCGACGTTGGATGAAAACCAAAATCGTATTTTTCGAGCTTTTTTCTTCGCGCTTGAGAAAGCTTTTTCCGTGTGTTTCGAGCAGCGCCGCGCGAGAAAAGAGCTCTACGAGGCTCCCGGCGGTTACCTGGTTGACGGTTTACCGCCGGATCCCAGTCACTTCCTCAGCCTGAACGCGCGAGACTCGATCACGCGATCTGGACTGCCAACGACTAGCGCTAGGCTTGTTTCATGTGCTGCCAGAAAGACACACTCTTACACCTGGCCTCCAGGTTGTTGCCTCCTTCTGCAGGTGGAGTCTTCAAGTACATGGTGCATTCTCCAAACTGGGAACCGGCGGTAAACCGTCAACCAAGTTACCGCCGGGGCCCTGGCAGAGCTCTTTTCTTGCACGGCGCTCCTCGGAACACATGAAGGAAGCTTCTGGAGCAAGACCCGAAAAAATCGAAAAATACCTCGTAGAGCTCCAGACCCGACCTTAAGAGACAATGTGTTAACTTTGGGTCGATGTTCGTATCTTTGTGCAAAATTTGGAAGTTCGTTTTAAGAACTGGTATTTTGCTCACGTGTAATGTGTTATGCCGCGTCTGCCAGTCCAATTCTCAGGTCCGTAGCTGCAGTACTACTATCAAAACACTTGCAGGAACCGACTTTGGAAAACACACAAAAAATGCTAATGTTTGGAGTTTCTCAGATCATCTCGAGAAAGCTTCTCCCATGCGTTCCAAGCAGCGTCGCGCGAGAAAACAGCTCTACGAGGCTCTAGAGCTCTCTTCTCGCGCGCAGCTGCTCGGAACACATGGAAGCAGCTTTCTCAAGGATAAGTTGAGAAACTCTGAAATTTATGTTTTCGAGTTGTTTTCCGAAGTCGGTTCCTCCAAGTGTTGATATTAATATTGCAGCTACGGACCTGAGAATCTCACTCGCGGACGCGGCATAACCCACTACAGGTGCGGAAAATCTGGTTTCTCAAAATAAATAATCAAATATCTTTCAAATCTTCGCAAAACCGACCCAAAGTTACCACATTGGTAGCGTCCAAAACCCGGAGAGCAAAGAGAGGTTCACACTGCGATCTGGCGGTAAACCGTCAACCAGGTAACCGCCGGGAGCCTCGTAGAGCTCTCTTCTCGTGCGGCGCTGCTCGAAACACACAAAAAAAGCTCTCTCAAGCGTGAAGAAAAAAGCTCGAAAATATGTTTTTTTTCGGCTGCCATTACGAATAGCTTCCCGGACCTAGCTCGAGTAGCAGACTGTGCTCAGAGCTCTAGATGCTACAGCCGAACGCCCCTGATGCTCCCGGATAGATTTCTGTGCGTACCAGATCTGTAGCTCTGCTACAGCTCGAGTTAAGTACAGAACACCGACAGCGCCTGTAAAGAGAACTTGAAGAATACGAATAGTTTCGCGGACCTAGCTCGAGTAGCAGACCCAGTTCAGACCTACCGATGCAACAGACGGACGCGCCTACTGATACTGGATCGTTTTATGTGCTTACCATCTCTGTAGCTCTTCTAAATCTTGAGTTGAGTAAGGGAAACCGACAGCACTTGTCAAAATGACTCGAAGAATACGAATAGTTTTGCCGACCTAGCTCGAGTAGCAGACCGAGTTGAGACCTCTAGATGGAATAGACGAACGCGCCTGATGATTCTAAATCGGTTTCTGTAAGTACCAGACTTGTAGCTCTCCGAAATCTCGAGTTAAGTACCGAAAACCGTTAACGCGTGCCAGGATGACTCGGAACACAGTCGGTTTCTGCAAGTGTTTGGATAGTAATACTGCAGCTACGGACCTCAAAATTTCGGCAGACGCGGCATAACCCATTACACGTGAAAAAAATACCAGTTCTCAAAACGAACTGGGCGCCGGCGGTAAACCGTCAACCTTTCTTACCGCCGGGAGACTCGTAGAGCTTCCTTGCCATATATTATGTCCAAAGAATTGGCAGAGAACGAATAGTTTTTCAGCCTCAACGCTGATAGCAGACTGATCTCCGGCTTCTAGATATATTTCACGAGTGCCCCTTACGATTCCCCTCCCATTGCTGTGCTGAACAGCTCTGTAGCTCAGCTGCAGCGCAAATAAAACCAAGAAAAAACAATATCATTTCCAAGAAGTAGAAGAGTACGAATCGGTGTTCAGCCCTAGCGCTAATAGCAGACTGAGCGCGGGCGTCTAGATACTTTCAAATAGCGCGCACGACGACTATCTTCCCATTCCAATGCCTCAGAGCTCTCCAGCTCATCTGCACCTCGAGTTCAGCCCAGGAAACGAATTTCATCACAAGAAAAAAAGAAGAGTATAACTGGCGTTTGCCCTCATAACAGACCCAAGCCAAGCGTCTAGATACTTGGACTAGCGCGCCTCATGATTTCCTTCTGCTCCATGTGCGCCAGAGCTCTCGAACTCATCTGCAGCTCGATTTAAATGAAGAAATTCACCATCATTTCGGAAAAAAATCGGTCCAAAACCAATAGTTTTGCGAACCTAACTCGAGTACAAGACTGAGTTCAGAGCTCTAGATGCAACAGACGCACGCGCCTGATGATGCTGAATCGATTGATGTGCGCACCAGCTCTGTAGCTCTCCTACATTACGAGTGAAGCAGAAAACCGACAGCATCTGTCAAGATGACTCGAATAATACGAATGGGTTCGCGGACCTGACCTAGCTCGAGTAGCAGACCGAGTTGATACCTCTAGATGCAACAGATGAACGCGCCAAATGATTCTGAATGGGTTTGTGTAAGAATCAGCCCTGTAGCTGTCCTACAGCTCGGGTTCAGTACAGAAAACCGACGGCACCTGTCAGGATAACTCGAATAATACAAATAGTTTCGCGGACCTAGCTCGAGTAGGAGACCGAGTTCAGACCTCTGGATGCAACAGACGAACGCGCCTGATGATTCTAAAAGGGTTTCTGTAAGTATCAGCTCTGTAGCTGTCCAACAGCTCTAGTTAAGTACAAAAAACCGACAACGCATGTCAAGATGACTCGAAACGGCCGATCCCGCCGCAACGCTTTTTGGTAGTAAAAGGTACCCGATCGGGCTGAGATTAAGACGGCGAGCGGTAATAAGATCGAATATGGTCAGAAAAAATACTAGAGCTCTGACGAATGGTTGAATTTCGAGAACAAAATTTTCAAACGACCAAAAGTCACCAAAAGGTCCGTCGAGATTTTTCTTGCCAACTGGGCACCGGCGGTAAACCGTCAACCTTTCTTACCGCCGGGAGACTCGTAGAGCTTCCTTGCCATGCATTATGTCCCAAGAATTGGCAGAGAACAAATAGTTTTTCAGCCTCAGACCGATCTCAGGCTTCTAGATATATTTCACTAATGCCCATTACGATTCCCTTCCCATTGCTGTGCTGAACAGCTCTGTAGCTCAGCTGCAGCACAAGTAAAACCCAGAAAACCAATATCATTTCCAAGAAGTAGCAGAGTGCGAATCGGTGTTCAGCCCTAGCGCTAATAGCAGACTGAGCGCGGGTGCCTAGATACTTTCAAGTAGCGCGCATGACGATTATTTCCCCATTCCAATGCCTCAAAGCTCTCCAGCTCATCTCTCTCGAGTTCAGCCCAGGAAACGAATTCCACCACAAGAAAAAAAGAATAGTATGACTAGTTGTTGGGCGTTTGCGCCCATAACAGACACAAGCCAAGCGTCTAGATACTTCGACTAGCGCGCCCCATGAGTTTCTTCTGATTCATGTGCGGAAGAGCTCTCGAACTCATCTGCACCTCGAGTTAAGTGGAGAAATTCACCATCATTCCGAGTACAAGACAAGACACAAGAGTACAAGACTCAGTTCAGCGCTCTCCATGCAAGCTGAATCGATTCATGTGCGCACCAGCTCTGTAGCTCTCCTACATTTCGAGTCAGGTACAGAAAGCCAGCAGCATCTGTCAAGATGCTTCGAATAATACGAATAGGTTCGTAGATCTAGCTCGAGTAGCAGACCGAGTTCAGACCTCTAGATGCAAGAGATCAACGCGCCTGATGATTCTAAGATTGTGAGAGTATCAGCTCTGTAGCTGTCCTACAGCTCGAGTTAAGTACAAAAAACCGACAACGCCTGTCAAGATGACTCGAAACGGCCAATCCCGCCGCAATCCTTTTTGGCAGTAATATCTACCCGAACGACCTGAAATTGAGACGGCGAGCGGGAATAAGATCAAATATGGTCAGAAAAAAACTAGAGCTCAAACAAATGGTTGTATTTCGAGAACAAAATGTTCAACCGAGCAAAAGTCACCAAAAGGTCAGTCTAGATTTTTCTTGCCAACTAGCTCTCCAGCGCGCCGGAATCACTCTTAAGCTTCCAGCAACTAGCTAAGGAAAGCTCTACCAGTTACTAGCTCTCCAGCGTCCCCGAATTACTCTTAAGCTTCCAGCAACTGGCGCCGGCGGTGAACCGTCAACCTGGTCTTTTGCGTCTTTTGCAAAAGCCGGTTCGAGCTCCCATGGGAGCAGGCCTAAACACAAAGAACCTAAACAGCGAAGCTGTACAGGAAGACAGCGAAGCTGCAAAGATCAAAGCAGAGGTGCATCAAACAGCGAGGCTGTACAGATATGCACAAGACTGCCCATGCACGAAAAAAGAACACCAAAACAGTGAGACGCAGCAACCACTGGTTTATACAGCGACCACACGAGAAGCAGTGAGAGACCATACAGTAACCACTGGTTTATACAGCGATTACCGTCTCAACACCACTGAGAATGCACAAGAGATTAAAGGTCAGAATGCAGATAAGAAATGCGAACTGAATTATGAACACACAAACAAAGGCCTACTTTGAGGCACCACGTGACAAATCACGGAAAGTCACGTTCAAAGGTCAATGAGCACTCAAATCAAGGAAGCAACGAATGACCTACTTTGAGGGATCAAGCGAAGCTCTTATTCAACACACGCGCATGCACGACAACACACACAGGCATGAAGAAAGGCAACGCAATGACAAATCAAGCGTGCAGGATCAATCACATGTGCATCATCTGTGCCGTTTCCGATGCTTCTTGCCGCTCCGCGTCAATGCACTCCTGGAAGTAGAACTCTGAGGACCCCCTTGTTGCGAATCATCCTCCTCGGAAATTTCAATTCCCAATTGCAGCCTGCATGCATTAAGAGCCTCAGTCCTACGCTGACACTCCTGTGTCGGGAGACGGCGTAGCTCAAGCCAAAGAGCCCTTACATCGACACCGGCAAGGGCCCAGTCCCTGGCAGCTTGGCACTCAGAGCGTGTCTCACTCGGTCGATCTGCAGAACTCCCATTCATGGAACTCCCTACTGCATCAGCTGAACTCCCGACTGCAGAACTCCCAGCTGTTGAACTCCCAACTGCATCCTCAACTGCATCAGCGGAACTCCGAGCTGTGGAACTTCCTACTGCACTCCCAAGTGTTGAACTCCCGACTGCACTGGAACTCCCGACTGCATCAACTGTACTCAAAACTGCGGTACTCTGCACCGCACTCCCGTTGGTCGCATGCAATTCTGAAGTGTGCAACTTTGTGCTCTCGATAGCCTCCGCTCGTTTGAAACAATATCTCTTCGTTCTGAGAGGAGCACCACCCCGATCAACGTGCACTCGATGACACTCCTCCTTCTCCTCCTCACCAACAAAGAGAACACAACGATCAGTCTGAGTCCCACACTCAATGTGAACACAAAGATCTGTCTGAGTCCCACAATCGGAACACTGCGAACACAAAGAGTTGCCAGCCAATTCAACAGCATCCATATCAGTCAGTGTTCCACAAGCGTCCTCAACCCATTCCTCTTCCTCAGAATCGTCCGAACAAAAATTCCGATAATATCTGGGCGCGCAAATGCCCGCGCGAACAAGGCACGACGAATCTGGCCCCCGAGCCGTGGACCACAAACGATATCTGGTACGTTTCGCCCTCAGGCGGCGCAACTTCGATTGAGAAACTTTGACACCATGCCCATACAGCTGGTCTCGCCCACGCAGGCAAGACTCACCTCCGTACGAAGGGCGAACACGGCAATATAGATCACTAACACACACTTCGACCGTAGACAAACGAGCAGACAAACAAGCGAGAAACTCGGAAGTAAACAGCGCCGTATCTGTCCAATCTAGAGCAACAAAATCCGCGCCTGACAATTCCGATGACACAAACTCCATATATAAAACGTGGACTCGCTCAACAAAAAGAAAGCAAATCACAAGCAATAACAAGATGGACAGTTGAGTACGATACGTGTGCATGCACAAAAACCCGTCCGCACAATGCGGCTCGAGGAGGCCCCCAACGGGCCAGGTCGCCGCTGAGCTCCCCGAGGAGGGACAGCAGCAACCTGGTCACCGCCGGGAACCTCGTAGAGCTCCTTGCACTGGTAAGAGTGCTCAGAATCGAAGTAGAGTAACAAAATTGAGATGTTCATAAAATCTTGATTTTAAGATTTTTTTGATGTTCATATTAGCTCGGTTCCGGGAAGTCAACTCATGATGAAATGCATCATGACAGCTGAGCTGCTCTCAGAATGAAGCTTGCATGCACATGCTCAGCGTAAAAAACTGCTTTCTTAAAATAAATGGTAACATATTCCTCGAAACTTAGCAAAACCGACCAAAAGTTATCACTTTGTCCGCCCGGGCCGGGTGGGCCAACTAGCTCCACCCCGCGCCGGAATTCCTCTAGCTCATCGATGTCGAAGAGCTCTACGAGGTACTAGCTAAAGAAAGCTCTACGAGTTACTCGGAGCCGGCGGTAAACCGTCAACCAGGTTACCGCCGGGACCCTAATGACCAAGGCATTTCCTAGATAACAGACGAAAACGTTCGTGAACATGAACTTAAACTGGAGAAATGTTATTCTTGGGTTTTACGCAACGTCGGTTCCTCCTCGTCTTTTGATAGAAACAATGCAGCTAAAGCATCATCGAACGCGCCATGATCGACTGCACAGAATAGAAATCTTGATTCCCAAAACGAATTCAAAATCTCTCACAATCTTTGAAAAACCGACCCCAAGTCACCACATTGTCCGCCCCGGCCGGGTCGGCCAACTAGCTGAACCCCGCGCCGGAACTCCTCTTGCTCATCGATGCCGAAGAGCTCTACGAGGTACTTGGTAGCGTCCATTTGGTAGCGTCCAAAACTGGGATCCCGCGGTAAACCGTCAACCAGGTAACCGCCGGGAGCCTCGTAGAGCTCTGTTCTCGCGCGGCGCTGCTCGAAACACCAAGCGTGGATAAAAAAAATCGAAAATACGTTTTTGTTCCCCAACCATCCTGTGGTGTTGGGTCCTCGTTTTGAAGAACGGTGCCCCGCGTCTCCTTCCTCCTTCCTCCTCCTCCACCTCCCTCCTCCCCCTCTTCCCTGCGTTTCACCCACCCAGCACAGCGTTTCGTGGCCCCACAGGGAGCTCCACCGAAGGCCCCATGGCTGCCGTCCGCATGCGTCCCGCACACCCATTTCGGCACACCCCTCACACGTTTCGTGGCCCCACAGGGAGCTCCACCGAAGGCCCCAGGCTGCCGTCCGCATGCGTCCCGCACACCCATTTCGGCACACCCCTCACACGTTTCGTGGCCCCACAGGGAGCTCCACCGAAGGCCCCATGGCTGCCGTCCGCATGCGTCCCGCACACCCATTTCGGCACACCCCTCACACGTTTCGTGGCCCCACAGGGAGCTCCACCGAAGGCCCCAGTGCTGCCGTCCGCATGCGTCCCGCACACCCTTTTCGGCACACCCCTCACACGTTTCGTGGCCCCATAGGGAGCTCCACCGAAGGCCCCATGGCTGCCGTCCGCATGCGTCCCGCACACCCATTTCGGCACACCCCTCACACGTTTCGTGGCCCCACAGGGAGCTCCACCGAAGGCCCCAGCGCTGCCGTCCGCATGCGTCCCGCACACCCATTTCGGCACACCCCTCACACGTTTCGTGGCCCCATAGGGAGCTCCACCGAAGGCCCATGGCTGCCGTCCGCATGCGTCCCGCACACCCATTTCGGCACACCCCTCACACGTTTCGTGGCCCCACAGGGAGCTCCACCGAAGGCCCCAGTGCTGCCGTCCGCACGCGTCCCGCACACCCATTTCGGCACACCCCTCACACGTTTCGTGGCCCCATAGGGAGCTCCACCGAAGGCCCCATGGCTGCCGTCCGCATGCGTCCCGCACACCCATTTCGGCACACCCCTCACACGTTTCGTGGCCCCACAGGGAGCTCCACCGAAGGCCCCAGCGCTGCCGTCCGCATGCGTCCCGCACACCCATTTCGGCACACCCTCACACGTTTCGTGGCCCCAGGGAGCTCCACCGAAGGCCCCATGGCTGCCGTCCGCACGCCCGCACACCCATTTCGGCACACCCCTCACACGTTTCGTGGCCCCATAGGGAGCTCCACCGAAGGCCCCAGTGGCTGCCGTCCGCATGCGTCGGCACACCCATTTGCTGCCGCACCCACACCCTCACACGTTTCGTGGCTCCACCGAAGGCCCCAGGCTGCCGCCCGCATGCGTCCCGCACACCCATTTCGGCACACCCCTCACACGTTTCGTGGCCCCACAGGGAGCTCCACCGAAGGCCCAGTGCTGCCGTCCGCATGCGTCCCGCACACCAGGTGTGTGGCGCGCCGACATGGGCGTCGCGGCGCGCGGGCGCTGCCGTCGGGGTTCCCAGGGAAGCCCCCTGCAGAGGCGACGCTCAGAGTCACGAGTACCGAGAGTCACGCAGACCCAAACTGTTCACAGTCGTATACATACATTTACACTGGGCGTATCCATGCACGCATTCATGCGAATAGAATCAATCGCGCGCAGATTCATTCATAATCAGACTCGCTCGCGATCCGACTCGCACGCGCTCAAGCTTTCATATTCGGACCTATCGTTTTCGTTCGTGTTGTGTACACTGCCACGCATTTCGGCACACCCCTCATACGGCTCGTGGCCCCATAGGGAGCGCCACCGAAGAAGATATTCACAATTGCGGTACTCTCAACTGCATATGGTTGGGTCCTTCGCCAGGCTAATTCATTTTGCATCCAACGTCGGTTCCAGCAAGTGCTTTGATAGTAATACTGCAGCTACGGACCTGAGAATTTCACTGGCAGACGCGGCATAACCCACTACACGTAAGAAAAAAACAAGTTCTTACAACGAACTTGAAAATTTTGCACAGAGATAGAAAAATTATGCTAACGGAGTTCCCCACATAAAGAGATTAACGGTTTCGTGGGACCCATTTTCTTGATACCTTCCTCGCTCAGGCGGGGCCTCCCTGGAGGGGTGGGAGGGGCACGAAACCATGTAAATAGCATGGTTGTCCGATACCCTCCTCGCTCAGGCGGGGCCTCCCTGCAGGGGTGGGAGGGGCACGAAACCATGTAAATAATATGGTTTTCGGATACCCTCCTCGCTCAGGCGGGGCCTCCCTGGAGAGGTGGGAGGGGCACGAAACCATGTAAATAGTATGGTTTTCGGATACCCTCCTCGCTCAGGCGGGGCCTCCCTGGAGGGGTGGGAGGGGCGCGAAACCATGTAAATAGTATGGTTTTCCGATGCCCTCCTCGCTCAGGCGGGGCCTCCCTGGAGGGTGGGAGGGGCACGAAACCATGTAAATAGTATGGTTTTCGGATACCCTCCTCGCTCAGGCGGGGCCTCCCTGGAGAGGTGGGAGGGGCACGAAACCATGTAAATAGTATGGTTTTCGGATACCCTCCTCGCTCAGGCGGGGCCTCCCTGGAGGGTGGGAGGGGCACGAAACCATGTAAATAATATGGTTTCCGATACCCTCCTCGCTCAGGCGGGGCCTCCCTGGAGGGGTGGGAGGGGCACGAAACCATGTAAATAGTATGGTTTTCGGATACCCTCCTCGCTCAGGCGGGGCCTCCCTGGAGGGGTGGGAGGGGCACGAAACCATGTAAATAATTTTGAGGGAGTTTCTGTGGAACTCACGTCATCATCTCACCCCCGGCGCGAAGAGCACGAGTCCAGAGCGGCCTCCGGCACCGTTTCCGGACGGATCCGGACGGATCCGCTGGATCCGGGGACGAATCCCCAAACCGGCGCCCTCGCCTGAGACATCCCCGCAAAACCGGCCCCGGGGGAGGTGCCCAGAGGAGCCCAGAGCGGCCTCTGGCACCGTTTCCGGACGGATCCGGACGGATCCGCTGGATCCGGGGACGAATCCCAAACCGGCGCCCTCGCCTGAGACATCCCCGCAAAACCGGCCCCGGGGGAGGTGCCCAGAGAAGCCCAGAGCGGCCTCCGGCACCGTTTCCGGACGGATCCGGGACGGATCCGCTGGATCCGGGACGAATCCCAAACCGGCGCCCTCGCCTCAGACATCCCCGGAAAACCGGCCCCGGGGGAGGTGCCCAGAGGAGCCCAGAGCGGCCTCCGGCACCGTTTCCGGACGGATCCGGATCCGCTGGATCCGGGGACCGACGAATCCCAAACCGGCGCCCTCGCCTGAGACATCCTCACAAAACCGGCCCCGGGGGAGGTGCCCAGAGGAGCCCAGAGCGGCCTCCGGCACCGTTTCCGGACGGATCCGGACGGATCCGCTGGATCCGGGGACGAATCCCAAACCGGCGCCCTCGCCTGAGACATCCCACAAATCCGGCCCCGGGGGAGGTGGCCAGAGAAGCCCAGAGCGGCTTCCGGCACCGTTTCCGGACGGATCCGGACGGATCCGCTGGATCCGGGGGCGAATCCCAAACCGGCGCCCTCGCCTGAGACATCCCCGCAAAACCGGCCCCGGGGGAGGTGCCCACAGGAGCCCAGAGCGGCCTCCGGCACCGTTTCCGGACGGATCCGGACGGATCCGCTGGATCCGGGGACGAATCCCAAACCGGCGCCCTCGCTTGAGACATCCTCACAAAACCGGCCCCGGGGGAGGTGCCCAGAGGAGCCCAGAGCGGCCTCCGGCACCGTTTCCGGACAGATCCGGACAGATCCGGTGGATCCGCGCCCCGGGGGAGGTGCCCAGAGGAGGAATGAGGAGGAGGAGGAGGAGGAGGAGGAGGAGGAGGAGGAGGAGGAGGAGGAGGATGATGGAGCTGCGGGGTGGAGGAGGACAGACGGAGGCAAGAGAAGGATGGAGGAGGAGGAGGAGGAGGAGGAGGAGGAGGAGGAGGAGGAGGAGGAACCTCATCCTCACCCTCGCCAACAAGCGCACGCACCTTCTTCTATATACAGAAACTCCCGATCAACCGCAGAGCGGCCGGCTAGTATGGTTTTCCGATACCCTCCTCGCTCAGGCGGGGCCTCCCTGGAGGGGTGGGAGGGGCACGAAACCATGTAAATAGTATGGTATTCCGATACCCTCCTCGCTCAGGCGGGGCCTCCCTGGAGGGGTGGGAGGGGCACGAAACCATGTAAATAGTATGGTTTTCCGATACCCTCCTCGCTCAGGCGGGGCC